TTTTTAAAAAAAAAAAGCATCTGTCCTGAAAAGGGATTCCATCACGTGGGAGGAAACGAAGCGCTGATGACCAGCAACAAAAAGAGAGCGAATAAGTTGATTGACGGATGAAACAGCACCTGCGACAATCATCCACCGCCCTTACTTTTGCTAAGATTAACTCCTCCATGACCTTTGAAACGTCCATGCGCCCCCTGCGCGACAACTGAAAAACAGTCCAACTTTCCAATCGTCTCAACCACCAGACATCACTCTGCAGCGCACATGCTCGAGTAACGGGCGCTTGCTGAAGCACTTTTGGTCGGGGAAATTCCATGTCTTCATCTATCCATACGCTCTCTTCGTTTCTTCTATTTTCTTTTCCCCTGCCGCATTTAGTTCGTCTTTCCATTCGGCGCTGCTCTTGACACAGCCTCTCCGTCATGTCCTGCTGGTAACCTACTACTTGTTCCCTTGACTTATCCTGTAAGATCATTATGATTTGCTACCCGCCCTCTTCTCTTACTATACTTTCTGCCTGCACCTTATCAGCCTGTGTAGGCTCCCCATTTGCTATATATGGAGGCTTACTCTCTCTAGTTTGTCCAGATGTGTCGATATATGCGCGCTGCAACTATAACGTTATTATATTTGCATCGATAAACCTGAGCTGCAGTAGATCGCGATTTGTACTTGATTTCTATATCTTACCACCAATAAATACCCTTCTTCGATATGATGCACCAGCCGTTGACAAGCTCGTGCTCGTCGACCTCGGAGGGGCATGTCAAAGCCCCAGCGATTCATTTTCCTGACGGTACCGTCAAGCAATCTACTCTACTCCGGTCCCCGACCGTACATCGGAATGGACATGTCAATTTAGACACATTCTCGCCAGTTAATGAAAACGGAAGCTTCGAATTCGATCGCGTCTTGAAAACTGGGAAGGTGCATCGTCGGGTTAAACATAAACATGTCAGCCTCGTTCCCATCCACCTTGCAATCCACCACTGACTCTGGTTGTTTAGGCATTCAGGGCCTCCTGGAAACAAGCCTATCTCGTTCTCCGCCCGAATCTGTTATCAGTCTACAAAGATGAGGAAGCGACAAGGTTGCGACTATCCATTACTCTATCAGAAGTAACCGCGATCGCTCCCGTTAAATCTCCTCGGTCAAATCGCCAGCACGTTTTTGGCATATTTTCCCCTTCTAAGAACTATCGCTTCCAGGCTCTGTCGGAAAAAGATGCGCAGGATTGGATCGAGCGCATTCGTGCCGAAACTCGCATAGACGAGGAAGAGGAGGCGTTTCTGGCCCTTTCCATGAAAGGAAACAATACACCGACTAGCAAGCAACGCATCGATGATACCACCGATTTCTCGGATGTTGAGCATATGGGAAGGGCCAGCTCGCCTGAATTTGGACGGGCAAGCTCCCCTGGTGGACGTCTCACTGCCCACCAAAATTTCTCGGGACATGATATTACGTCTTACTCAGAATGGTCCGATGGCCCAGCGAGCAACTGCAGTGTTCGCCCCGCTTCAAGAACTTCAACAATTCCTAACTTATCTGTGTCTACTCCAGCGAGTGCACAGCCCACCTCTGCGCGCGATACGGATCGGACCCAGGAATCAAATGCCCGGCGTGACCCGGAGAGAGTTATCTGTAATGGCTATCTTCAATGTCTCCGCATTAAGGGAGGAGTGCGCCAATGGAAGCGATTATGGGTTGTTTTACGTCCAAAGAGCCTTGGCTTTTATAAGGACGAACAGGTATGGAGATTTAACCTAATCCACTTTTGTTATATCTCAGGTTCTTTTCTGCCGTACTGGATGAGTTAGAAGAAAACTGACTGGCCATCTTCCACAGGAGTATTCCGCAGTCAAAATACTTCCCATGGACCAGGTATTCGATGCCGCAGAAATTGACCCAATATCTCGTTCAAAACTCTACTGTCTCCAAGTTATTGCAGAGGAAAAATCATATCGTCTCTGCGCGGACAATGAAGAATCTCTAGCAAAGTGGTTAGGGTCCCTAAAGAGCGTTCTGGTCGCTCGCAAGAAACTCGAGTCAGAAACTGCATCAGGAGCTGCGGCGGCGGCAGCAGCAGCAGCCTGAACAATTGTACAACAATACTAACCTGTCGGGTCTGGCAACAGTCCCATTGTCGCTCCCTTTTTCCATTTCCTTCACTGTGTCTCTCCTTAACAAATTCTTTTCATTATCGAATTATTGCACACCTTATATACCTTCGTCAACTGTGTTTTCTTTTCTCATTGTGATCTTTTTACGACATACATACCCGACTTTACTGATGATATAGATCTGCTTTCTTCTTTCTTTTCCCTTGTGACCAGTCTGAAACCCCCAACTTTTGAATAATGCTGATAATGTTCGTTTTACCGACGTTTATTTAATCCCCTGTACTGGTGGCAAATATTCTGCATACCGAGGAATCCCCATGGTGGAGTAGGTATCAAGCCGCAATGCTATTTTCTAGCAGCGGGTTGGATAATTTGCGTCCATTATTGTTCTCTCTTATCTGCCACGTGATAGGACCCTATTGTAATCTTATGTTCTTTTCTATTCATATGGAAAACAGAGGATAGTTTTTAACGAATTGGCGATTTATGTGTATATATACGGATTAGATTCTGTTACTCCGGACTATAATCCAATTAGTTGCCCTGAGATCAGATATATCACCTCTCTGTCTCTTCTCCGGGAACAACATCATAGTCTCCCGCTGACGTTTCCTCGTTACTCTTCTCCTTACTTTCATGGTTCACAACCAAGAACGACAGGAACACGATCGCAGCGCCGACCCAATACAACGCGCTCGACGTCACGCCTTGAAGGAAGATCTGACCCACAAGGGAGAGAGGGATGGTCAGTGAGAGGCCGACGGTGACGACGAGAGGAGTCGTCAAGAGCATAGCGTAGGCCCAGCAGATGTCAGATAAAAGCGAGGATACAGAGTTAACCTTGAGGGATCAGATGTCAGTATATTTCGGATATCATGTATATGACAGAGGAACAGGGGGAAGCTAGTACCAAAATAATAGTCCAAACTTTGCCTGTTTCAGGAAGTGCAAATGTCTCGATTCCGGTGAAATGCATTATAATGAAACCGGGCCAAATGAGGAGCATATTAATGAGTCCGACGAGACCAAAGAACAACTGCATGTTCACTCGGGACTCATCTCCGACTTGTTTTTTTAATACAATCGTATACACTCCGTACATGACCGCGCTGAATCCGGCCATGGCATCGCCGAGCGCAATCTCGGTGGAGCTTTTGTTCGGAAACCTGCCGCCGCTGCCATCATCTGCCGGGGGTGCTTCTGATGCAGATAGGTCAACACGGGATATCAAAATAATCCCCACCAACGAGGCGACGACGCCGGCGAGTTTACGGACGGTGAATGTTTCAACACCAATGAGTGCGCCGAAAATCAAGGTCCAGACACCTGTAACCATAGATGTTAAAAATTTTGCTCAATGTTGGTTTGGTTGATTGATGCATACCGCTGGTAGAAGTCAAAATGGTGGTGCTACCTACGGTCGTGTATTGCAGGCAAGCCATAGCAAAGTAATTTGCCTGTTTGCGCATTCCACGTCAGATCATATAAACTAGGGTATTCCGCAGTCACGAGTTACTTACAAGGAACTATTTCAAGTTAGCGTAGTTGTATAGGGGTTTCGCACATCGGACAGATTCTTACCCATAGCATGCAAAATTGCAGGCTTAACTTTGCAGTCGCCCTCAAGCCCAGCTTGACAGATCCCTCTTCTTTTCCTCCCGAATCCAACGTAGCTGTATTCCATGTTTCAGGGTCTGCGGGCTCGTAAGCATTGTCCCGCCTTGTAGTTTCAGCATCCGGATCATGTGAATCAATGTGTCGCAAGAAACTTTGAAACGAGTGTATCTGGGAGAGCTTTCCCGAACGCCATAATCTCCAGACCCGGCCAAGGATTATCGTAAAGAGAGGAAGCATAAACAACGAGGTGTTAATATAAGTCACAAAGAACGGTTTGGGGTACGTATCGTCGGCGAATATCGTCTGGGACGCTGGTCAGTATGTGTGCGACTCAGGATGAAGACCCACAGAGAGAAAAGGCGCTTTCATCAAGATGTCTGTGAGGGGTCAGCATACACTAGCCAGGAAATTCGAAGCAGTCCACAGGACGACTACGATCAGAAGCAACCCGATGCCAAGTGTTCGTCTTGCGACACCAGTGGACATTCTGGTAAAGGTATCCATGGAGAGTATTAGCCAAAGAAACTATGGACAAAGGATCGAAAGGTGGGGACGCCGGGGTGTAGATAAACTCGTAGAAGCCCCATTCATCAAGATTATCAATCGAGTACTTTTCCGCGCTTCGGACTCAACCGGAAATGCAAGACGTTTCTCGTAAGGCCAGCGCTCAGGTTAACGAAAGATGTCAGGGTGGATCACGGAGCGTAATTGTGGAAGCACAGATAGAGCTCAGCTGGGCCAGCAGGTGACGCGACCACCCTGCGAATTAATCATGGGGTGTCCTAAAGTCAAAGGGGGAAAAAAGAAATAAATGGGGTTAACCCCAGACCATGGATGATAAAGTAGTTCGGCGGAAGTCCCACCGCCCAAGGATCACGGGATATCACCATTGTCTATTGCGCCTTTGGGAATAGATCGACAGGGTCCCGGACATTCATTGTTCCCTTGTGATGATCCTAGGTACGTACTCTGGCAACCCCAATCTCAAATAAATATATTCCAGACTCCTCAAACAATATGATTAGACGTTGGCTGTAAACACTAGGAAAAAGAAAACACGACTGGCAAAGGATATCCCATGCGACCCAGCAGACAAAGCATGAGATAGGAACTTCATGCATGAAGTATTCCCAAGATATATAGGCTCAGCATTTGGGGGAAACAACCCGTTCCCCAAGCCCGACAACAGAAAAAGGAAACAGCAGCATCTCTACAAAAGAACTCAAAATGCAAACGGAAAGCTGCAAATCTCGGCCATGGATTGTAAATCATTGAAAAGTCATGTCCATCACTAGGGTATCAACAGGCACATCCATCGCGTTCACTATCAAGGTGGATGTTGATAGGGTCACTGAATTCACCACTAAATTCTTCGGCCTCTTCTTGAGCCAAAGCACTCCTAGCAATGACTTGTGTGTGCGTCAGCATGTGGCAGGAACATGAAGAACGAGCGAGCTGTTGAAGAGGACCGACTTACCTTCAAAAGCCTGCTCAACGTTAACAGCTTCCTTAGCACTAGTTTCGAAGTAAGGGATGTTGCCCTTGGATTGACAAAACGTCATAGCGCGTTTCGAGGAAATCATTCGTTTGCTCTCCTCGACATCGATCTTGTTACCAATAACGACCTATATCATTGTCAAACCCGAGTCGCATATAAAAAGCAGGAGAAAAAAATTAAAAAATTAAACAAAGAATGAATAGCTAAGTAGGAAAACATACGAAAGGGAAGTTCTCAGGGTCTCTCGGGCTTGCTTGGATAAGAAATTCATCTCTCCAGCTGTCCAGAGCCTCGAAACTCTTAGAGTTGTTCACATCGTATACCAAAACACAGCAATCGGCTCCTCGGTAAAACGCGACACCCAATGATTGAAAACGTTCTTGGCCCGCGGTATCCCAGATCTATTTGTCACAGGTTAGTCACCCGTTTTGCGGTATCGAGAATTGACGGGACACATGCCTGCATTGTTACCAGTCGGTCGTCTACTAGAACTTCCTTGGTGAGAAAATCCGCGCCGATTGTTGCCTTGTAGCTGGCGCTAAACTTCTTGTTGACCTGTTTGGTGGATATCGTTGTCAGCGGGATACGGTACTACACATGATCCTCCTGCACTGAAGGTCACGGACATATTGATTCATCAAACTTGTTTTACCGACGCCGCTATCACCAAGAATGATCACCTAGAGGATAAGATGCACGTCAATAAGAGTAGTTTAGCCATAATGCAGGCATGGTGACCTTACCTTAAGAAGAACCTTCTTCCGTGACGACATGGCTGTGGCTATGTAGAGATAAGGCGGTATGTGCGGTGGGAGATAATATGAAGCGGTGGGAATGAAAAATGAAGGTGTGAGTGGCTCTCTATGGAGAATGGAGAACGAGGAGGTCTGGTGGGTGTTGTAAGTTTCCCCTGTCCTAGCAAATAGCTGTGAAGTAGCTGGGGAAGGATGAGTGAGTGAGTGAGAGAGAGGACCGGAGTAGTAGTTAGTACTAGTAGTACTAGTCTTAAGTTGGACGGTAACGAGCCGAAGCTAATGGGAGGCGGTTGGTTTCGATGATGCATGACGCTGGGGCGGTGGAGCAGGCGGTGTGCACGTGTTGCTGCATCGTCCGATCATTTCACCAACGGTCCACCGTTATCTGTACAAGAAGTTGTGTGTGTCTCCCTTTAGAAAACACCTCGAAAACCCTTGACAAGGCCTTCCGTACAGGTCCGACTACTAGTAACAACTGTACCGCGTTCCTAATTTGCTGCGTGACTAACTCGTGTCACAATGTATCCGTGATTTAAAGCTGCTCTATTCGACAGCGCTTATCGTGATTATCAATGGCCCACTGGAGAGAGGAGTACTCCGCCGCTTTGGCGGCTCGCGATCGACGAGAAAAAGCCAACGTTGCTATCTTAAATGCCTGTACGCCTTGGAGGGACAGCTGTGTCTGGAGCGTAATATTCCTACGCGGTTTCTCATACTCACTGACAAACCATCCATTGCTACAGATACACAACTTGCCGATCGGACCGGCCGTATAGCAACAGCTGTCAATAGCACCCAAAGCTCTGCCCCGACAGAGAGCCACAATGATATTCCCCAATCCCTAGTGCCAGACCCCAAGAAACAAGGTGTAGCGTCGTCAGGACTTTCTCTCCCGGATGCTTTAGCTGCAGCGCGCACAGATCTATCTGAGGCGCAACGGTCCCGATCAGAGCTACAGGATCGGCTTACTCGCACAACGGCCGAGCTGGAGAAACTGCGAAAACGAGGCTCGCAGGACACACGTCGCATTAGTGCACTAGAGAAAGAAGTTGCTCAGTCGCAACTACGACTGAAGGACAGGGATGAAGAGTTGAAGGGGAAAGCTAAATTGCTAGATGTACGACACTTTGCTCTGTACCCGACCGGATCTGTTGACTAACCTATTATCAGGATTTCCAAGATGAGCTTGCATCTCTAAACCTGCAGCTCAATATGGCCGAGGAGCGGTCAAACCGGCTACAGAAGGAAAACCAGGAGTTAGTCGACCGTTGGATGGCAAGGATGGGCAAAGAAGCGGAGGCGATGAACGAAGCCTCGCGATTCTCATGATTTTTACGAGATTTTGTGACAGCAGAAACAACTCTTATTGTTTCTATAACACTCTCAGACCGGGGTAATATTGCGGGCTTCCTCGAGGCTATATCCAGATCTATATCAACCTTTCTCTATACCATATTCATGATACCCACTTATTCACCGATTCCCGATGGCGCGCAATTCTAGCAATGCAGTATCTTGTACGATGTGCCACGAAAACCCAGAACATATCAGGAGAGGACAGAAGGGGTCCCTGGGCACAACAGGTGAAGAGCCGAAAACAGACATCCCAAAGAAATGAAGAAACCATGCCAACATTTATACAAGAATAGTGGTATCATATCTTCGAGACAAGTAGCTATTTCCAAAAAGAAACAAGAAAGAGGAAATATAAGAAAGAAAAAGGTAAGAATAGGGAAATAATACATCGAAGAGAGGCCTACAGGGAATTGTATGTAGTATTTATCAACCCAGGATAAACAAAACGTACCAAAAGTAAGAAGGGGGAAAGATACCCAAAACCAGTTTGTTGGTGACCGCGCAGTGAATAGGCGGGCATCTCACCCCATGCTCTCTGCAAAAGCTCTCAATCTAGAGCTGTCTTTGGTAGCGACGAAATAAGTGCCACCAACGTCGGTCCAGCTGACACTGTTGGACCAATATTCCCTCTGCTTTACCTTAAGAAGATTGATAGGCGAATTTAGATTCCGAGACTGGATCTTATGGCCTGCAGGGACGAATGACTTGAGGGACACGATTTGGCAACCCTCTTTCATGTCTAGAAAGTGGTTGATCAACTCGTTGTTGAGTTGCGGAGTAAAGGCCTGGTTGTTGATCAAGATGACATCTGCGCGCTTTAGGACATCGATGATACTCTGTTCTTTGAGGAAATCGCCCCGAACGAGATGTGTTTTCCCTGGTGCAATTCCCCATAGGCGACATCGAGCCTTGAACTCAGTCTGCTGGAGCTCGGCAAGTTCACATGCATTCTGCATCATTTCGCAGCCCCAGCTTTCACACCCAATCTCCAGTGCCGCCTGCAAAACAACGTTACCCACGCCAGATCCTAGATCGACGAAAACCTGGCCCGACTTCAATCCCGTCTCTTTGAAAATGGTACTGATGAAACGAGGTAGCAATTCTCCGTAGACATTGTCCGTTCCGTTCTCATATTGACGGAGTGATTCAACCCGAGGTGACACAGTGCGCGAATAAATTTGGTTTAAAATCCTCTCGACGAGTGGTAAATTCAGCCGATGAGTCGAGTCTAGTTTTTTTGCGATACTACCATCGCGCCTTAATCGTTCAATCGCATCATTATAATCCGTTACAACAGTTCGAAACTCCGCTTCGGACGCGTGGGCGAGCGCTCGTCGTAGTCTTCTCTTAATCCCGGTTGACTCATTATCAAAATAGTCCACCTCGTCTTCCGATATGTAATTTTGTGACACAGTTTCGATGACTTGGAATATATCGTCGATAGGTCTAAAATCATCTTTGTCACGGGGTACAACAAGGTTGTATCTGTGGTACGAAGTAAACTCGTTAGCAAATCCCGCGTACCATCAATGCTATTTTTGCATTTTATCATACCTTTCTTTCGGGGAAGCGCTTGGATACTGTAACAATATCTCGATAGGCCGGTCCGTGCCCCGAAAAGCTGGTTTGAAACACCCCGCCTTTTGGACAGATGTGATGTCGGCTGCATGTACTATCGGCAATGACTTAACTCCTGCTTCGGAGAATGCCTTCAAGGAACGTAGCCGCCTCTCAAAATCTGGCTCCGCACTGTCGCCCGTTCTCGCGCGCTTACGAACTTCGAACGACGTATCCGTATCACTGGAATCATCATCACTGGAAAGTCGCTGTTCTGGAGTTTGTCGCTTTCGATTCTGTGACGGAGTGTTCAATCGCCGTTTCGAAGATGTAAGGTCTGGATCTCTCGAGACTGACCTGCTCCCCGATCCTTGCGTCTTCTTCGGCTTATCAGAGGGCGAGGCACGCGATGATGTACCGGGAGTCAGTGATGACGTTCTTGAAGGAGGCGCAGGCCGTGTCTGGACAATTTTACGTATCTGAGGCTTCTTTGGCTGTAAAGAGAAGCCTCCTCCTTTTTGGAGGTGGTCAAAGAATCCCATCGAGTAAAGCTGGACGCGCCGCACTCAGGCGGGGATGTACTATACAAAACCAATATATGTGACGATATATGGATAAGTGGGGGGAGCAGTTAAAATATTTGAGGTAGCATATGTACTGGAAAAAGCAGAGAAAGAATGTCTGAAAGAATAGAATAACCAGCGCGAAAATGCAAAACGAGTAAAAAGAGGGTAGAAAGAGAAAGAAAAGACCGTTGACCGAGCGGAAATGTCAAAGAAAAGAGCCGCGCAAAGCCTTAGCCAAAAAGTTGCGGCGATCGATAAAGGTTCAGCGCCGCCACTCTGGACCGCATGTCTTTTTAACCTTAGGCACACCCGCTGTCCGTCGACTCGGATCTCTAAGCCGCCCTCCCCGCGTGTACTAATAGTTGCTTTCCCCTGTATACATTATCTTTGATGGAATCTAAGCACATAGCATACGGATTCGCTGACACAACAATTCTGTACATGGATATATATAAAATGCTGTAATATGCGGCTTCTATACATACACACCCCTCAAATGGGTATCAAAATTTGCTGGAACTTAATTACACCGGCGGGTCACGACGCATGGTATTCGTCTATATGACCTTCACTCCCTTTACTTTTGTTTCTTCTTCGCAAGACGCTTCTGGGCCCGAACATCCTTCTTCATACGGGAGTCCACAATCTTATATTTGCCCTTCACCCCGCGTGGACGACCAGAGATACCCCTGTTGTTGCCCTTGGCCACGACTAGCTTCACCTGCTGCTTAGGCTTCTTCTTGGTCGCCTTGCTCATCAACTTCGAAATGGCCTGTGACTTGTCACGTTCGCTGAGTGCCTCATCATCTGCCAGCAATGCAGACTTCTTGCGCAGTTTTTCCAGCTTCTGCGCAGCCTTGAACTTCTTTCGACCCTTGGCTTCCATGACCTTCTTGATTGGTCGAGCGTTAATGGCACGCATTTTCTCCTTGATTGCAGCCGCAGCAGCCTTGGTGATGGGTCGATTTTGTTTACTATGCTTTGTCTCGTCGTCGAGGAACCACTCCGGTAGACCATCAACGTCTCGGAAAGAATACCGATTGAACCCATCATCCATCACGTCATGAGACTTCTTTTCACCACTAGCCATCTGCTGAGCCAGGGCCATGGCTTCCGCAGTGATAATATCGATGTCTATGTTTATGGTTAGCAACAGCAGAAGCAACCATATAATCTGATATAGTAACACTCACCAAGTTGACCATTCTCCTTCCGAGGCTCATCGAGTTCCTCAGGTTCCTCATCCGAAGAGTCCAAGACCATTTGCGTGCCTGTCTTCGCATCCTTTGCCTTCTGCTTCTTGGAAACAGGATTCTCGATCTCCATATGGTCATTGTCGTCCTCGTTCATCTCAGTGACACTATCCTCATCAGCATCCTCATCCTCAACGTCATCAACATCCTCTAAGCCCTGGAAGATGTCCTGGTCAAAGAACATTGCAGCATTATTAGACAGTGTTCCATTCTTCGGAGGTGCAACGCTCGTCGCATTCGCTGCACCAAATTCGGAGTCTTCGTTATCTGACTGTTCGTTACCCGACTCCGAAAAGCCCTCCCACTCATCGGCTTCGAAATCTTTCCTGGCTTTCTTGGCTCTAAGTTTCGTATCCTTGTCCTCTTTGCGATCTTGGTATTGCTCGTATAGTGAATCAAGCTCTCTTTCTAGTCGATCGCCTTCATCATCACTCTCGGCATCGGCATCGGTTTCTGAATCTTCACTTTCACTCTCAATCGGCACTTCTTTCCCAGCAGCGATTGTATCCCTGGCACCCTCTCTCTCGACACGTTTAAGTGAAAAGGGTGCATCATCTCCAAGGGGACCAATTTGCTCCATACCAATATCCATAGGGGTTGTCATATGCATCTGCATGCGGACGATCTCCTTGCGCTTCTTTTCATTCTCCCTACGTCTCTCCTTTTTCGCCTTGGAGCTTTCCTTCTCCCGGAGTCGCTGCAGTTCTTCCTGAATGGCCAACTCTTCATCCATTGGGGCAATTTCGGCCACTTCCTCGGGCTCATCCTTTTTGGCCTGCCCTCCCTTCTTCACGACAAGACCAAATTTCTCACGCACTTTCAATCGCCACCGTAGTAAGTTGCGGAATTCCTTTTTGCCCAGCACTTTCAAATCTTCACAGCACGTGCGAATTTCATCCGTCGTTTCTTCCAACCGGTTGAGTGTGCTCAATGCGATATCTCCATTGAGGGGCTGTTGAAAGCTAAGTTTGTTGTATTGGCCGAGAATAGCAATTGGGTCGGTTGTATTAATGAAATCGGTGACAGGTATCTCCTTAAATTGCGTCCAATCGCCTTCCTCGTAACCATCTCTCTTGCGCTTCTTCTTCTCAGGGTCAAACACACGAGCCTCGTTATTTGGGGTTGGATCAGCCAGTTCCGCGAATACGTGCTTCGGATCAAGGAACTTAGGGTCCATGCGCTTCGGTGCCTTAAAGCCACGGCAGACAACGAAGATTTCGGCGGAGACATTTCGAGACGACGGGGGCTTTGTGGCTTCCACCGACGTGAACAATTGCTTGAAAACCCACAACAACGCATTGTAGTCCTTAGACCGGAAGACTTTAGTGACAAAGGTACCGCCCTCAACCAGGAATTCCGTAGCCAATTTCATCGACTGCAAGACCAGCTCTGCTTGCGAGAAAGCGTCCTGAACCCACGCTGTACCAACGTTTGGAGCACCATCATGAAGTACTGTATCCGCCTTCCAATGTTTCAAGTGTTGTCTGATAGTTGTGCGACACTTCTCGGTCGTGATATCGCTCTGGAAAGTGATAACTCGTGGAATTGGCTTTATGGGGGCGAGATCGACACCGATTATAATACTTTGAGCGGGCATACACTCCGCAGCCACTTGACACCATGACTATGTATTGTTAGAAAATAATGTTGGTACAAAAGATTCATCCACACTTACACCTGGTGCAGCACAAAGATCGAGAACGACCTTGCTCTTCTCCAAGAAACCATATTTCTTGTTCAGCTGGATCAACTTGAACGCAGCTCTAGCTCTGTACCCCTTCTCCTTCGCAAGGCGATACCACTTGTCCAAACGACCCTTACCATGCTACTCGTAATCAGTAAACGGGTTATCTTCTATCATTTTTATAGAATTCTCCAGCGTACCTTCTTCTGGATTGCCATTTTCAAAGACGGGTAGTCGAGGCAGGCTCGACACAAAGACCCGAATTGGCAGAATGATGGTGTCCTGGTAGACTGGTATTGATATAAAAAACCAGAGAAAAAAGTTATCGGCCGCCTG